GCATTTTTTTTCTCCCTCCTCTTCGTTTGCGATAAGAAATTTTTAGTTCATCAGTCTTGAAGAACAGTGGTGACATTTGATTTATCGCAAATTTCTTTCTTGTCCATTTTTCAAATACTTTTTCTTCTCTTGCGTTGACGCGGGCATGGGATGCGAGCGGGACAGCAGAAACGAGAAATTGGGATTCGGGGATGGAGGGGTCGGTCGCTGGGAGGGAGGTGGCGCCGCGGCAGGGGGTAATGGACGGTGCGGAAAAATAAATAAAAGTGTGGCGAGCCCGTCTCATTTCCATGTGATTGCCGGACCCGGCCGGCCGGCCCCGCCCCTAACGCGGTGGTAATGAGGGGAAATCACAGACCTCTGCTGTCGGGGGATTATTTCCTCGGGGATTCTTTATTTCTAGGCGCTGGGAACACGGGGCTGCGCGGCCGGCCGCGGTATCGACACGGTCGGGCGGGGCGGGGCGGGGCCGCGAGACGTTTTGGCCACACTGACTCTCGACACGCGAGGCCCACCCCTCGCCGCCCATATTTTCACCTTACCCCTCTATCAATTAGAGATTAGATTTTCCACCCGCGCGTTTAACCTCCGCCGACCTATCGACTCGTGAGCGGCGTGACCGAGCGTCGCTCGCGAGCAACCGTTCGCGAGCTGGGTGTGATATTTATCTGTTTGGCTTTTCCTTTTCCGCGCGATGAGGATAGGAAAGGAAGCACAGGAAGAGGAATAAATAGACACACTTAAATGGGGAAAAATCTTTCGCTCAATTATTTTACGAGCACCTTTGCAGCTACAGCTTTTAAATTTTGTGGGAAGATAATAACTACTAATACCTACAAATTGTCACAGGACTCTTTTTGATGCGACAATTTTTATTAAACTTATCTTTGGCAATTTAAGTCTTTTCAAATTTATTATCTACTGTAAAACTTCTAAATTTTACATAGAAAAGATGTTTGCTATCGACAGCAAGATGTGCCTATGTGTACATCCTGCAAGATGCGATTTTAAAGATTGTGTAGTCACAGTGGCATATTTGTATCTTCAGTTGTACAAACCAAAAGTTCACCTCTATACATACTGCTTCCCCAGCAGGGTTGCCGGGGCGACAGGGGCTACGGCAAGGAGGTGGTCGACGTGGCAGAGTCCTGTTGCTGCGGGCGCAGCCAGCGTAGAGAGAAGTCGAGGAGGAAGAGGGGGAGGTAGGGTGGGATGAGTCCCGAGTCAAGTCGACGGAGACTTTGGCCTGGATTTAGGACGGCCTTCCCAATCTCAGTGGCAGCGGCACCAGCCGGGCGGCGCGGCAGCACCAGCCTTGCATCCGGGCGGGGCGGGACGAGCCGGACCCGGGAGATAACGGAGAGAGGGACGATAATTAGCCATGAGAAATAGGGAGAGGACGGGCCGCCCCGTCGGGAGGGGCGCAGCCCGGGCGCCAGCCCCGCGCCCTCGTAGATTGTGATTCTGTTGACGAAGGCCGAAAGCGGATGAGGCGGCAGCAGGATGCGCGCGGCGAGACTCACACGGCGTCCGCTTACCTGAGCTTGTAGCAGAGCAGGGTGCGACCACCGGGAGACGGAGAAAATATTGCTTAATCGAGAGTTAAAGCAATGACACCTTACATTACTCATGTATAGTTCTGTTTAGTTAGTTTAGGTGTAAGGTTGTTAGGTACCATTTGCTAAAAAGGGCGGAGTGGAGCCAGCGGGGAGACAAGAACGAGGGAGACGGGACAGAACCACGCGGAAGGAAGGCTCCTTTTCCTTTCCTCCGAGTTGCCTCTCTCGGTCCCCTTCGCACGCCCCATCCCCTCAGCCCCCGCTGTGGCTCTGGTCTGGACCGGATGCTGCGTCCAAGTAATTAGAAGATACAAGTAAGCGTACTTTATCAAGACGCCGGGTGGGGGAGGCGGAGGGAGAGGGCGGGCAGCACGACCGCCGCCGCCGCGGGGGGTCGGCCCCCTCCTCTCGACCCCCGGTAGCGGCACGCGATGGGATGTGGGGATCTAATCTACGGTGCAGTCGGTCGGGTCGGCGAGCCGGGCCCCGGCCGGGTCGAGCACGGGCTCAATTTGGGTCACGACAGCTCACATTGCCCTCCGAGTGATTTCTACATCTAGTCGTATAGTGTGTGGCCCCAGAGGAGGAGGGGGAGGTGCTCGATGTGGCCGCAGCCAATGCCGTGCTCGTGGTGTTATTCGCACCGACCGACCCTCGGCACGCGCGCGCAGCAGAACTGAGGTGGGACCAGACCTGCTCTGGGGGCGCGCCGACCACGCCGCCGACCCCCCGACCACACCTGGTGCGTGTCCCTAACCTAATCAGGTATCTCTTCACCGGACCTGCCTCTGGCCTGCGGGCTGCGCTGCGGCGTGCGTCTCCTCCGGGGCTCGGTTAATGAGGCTACCGCCCCACGCTGCGCCACGCTGCGCCACGCCACGCCACGCCTTGCCACGCCCCTGCGTGACCACAATGACCCAAGACGGTGGTCCACAGATTTACATAGACACCGCACCGCCCCGGGGCCCCCGCCGCCTCTGCTGCTGGTCTGCGGGGGGCAGAGCCGGGCAGAGCCGGGCAGGATGGCCCCCCTGTAGCGCGGTCCAGGCAGGAGCATTCACGAAAAGGAGGACGAGGGCGAGGTTGGAAAGGACCCAGAGCACGCCCTGAAGCGTTGCTTATGAGCTACAGCTGTTGGCAGTAAGAATTTCGCTGAAAACTTGAACCAGTTTGATTTTTCCCATAAAATACTTTGTGGAAAGTGCGAGAATTTTTCTTTTTGTCTACTGCATATCTCCTCTCTGGGTATTCCAAAAAGTCTAGTGTAAAACTGAACGAGGGGCGCGGCCCTCTTGTGACGCTGCTCCTGCGGTCCCCGCCGGCTCCGCCAGGGCGTCCCTTTGACGGGCCCCGGGTCTCCTGGAGGCTGCGCGATGGATGGAAGGGCGGCGGAGCGGAACCGCAAGGCGGACGGGGAGGGCGTCGGGGTGGAGGGCGGGGTCGACTCGGGTCCCCAAGTCGGACCCAAAGGCAGCCTGGTGGCCAAACCCGAGACCGACCAAGCGGCGGCCGACCGTGCCCGCCGCCGACCTGCCGCCATGGCCGGAAGGAAGTAGTTGTAACTAGAGTACTCCATCTGACCAAAACGACCCCTGCCCCCAAAGCCACGCTCGGCAAGAGTTGCGAAAATTGTATGGACTATACTGTTCAAAATTTATGTTCTGAAACCAAAGTTGCAATGTGTGCTAATTACAACATTGTCGTGCTGTCTGTGTCGCAGTATGGAGCAGCCGGACCCGGACTACATCAAGATGTTCGTCGGCCAGCTGCCGCGCTCCATGGACGAGGCCGACCTCACCAGGCTCTTCGAGGAGTTCGGCCGGGTCCACCAGATCAACGTGCTGCGGGACAAGAACACCGGCCAGAGCAAAGGTGAGTTACCACAGCACGTCGAGTCCGGCCCGGCCCGCCCCTCCGCAAGGGCGCCCGCCGCGCCGGGCACCAGCGCCCCTCCGCAGCGCAGACGGCTGTTCCCTTGCGGTGTTTTAGCCTGCCATTAATGACATGATGTCGGGCCATTAGGTGTCCCCTCCGGAGTTATGCGCGGCTCCATTAGGGCCGCACTCTTTAAAGGTCGGAGCGGAGCGCAGCGGAGTATCTTGCGGTTTTGTCTGCCGTCAAAACTTGGGCGGCAGCTAGCGGCGGGACAAGCCCGGGATGGCTGCTATGGCTCTCGGCTGCCGCACAACTCGGTCACTGGATAAAATCTTTGTTTATTCACAATCTTTATTTTGCGATTTACGATTTACAAGTGGTGTTGCAAATTTGCAATCAGTATCGTTAATTTACGACTGACTATTTTTTCTCACCAAAGATATAGCATTCGATACGTAGTGTTGCAGGATTTCTGATTTTACAATTTGGAATGGTAACTTCTCTATAATGGAAATTTTTCCATTAAACCTTTTCATATTTTTCACTTTGTAGACTCAAAAATAAATTTAACTAGATTTCTTCTTTCCTGTCTTGCGCTTGCCTTATTGGACGATATTCCCTTGCTTTCTCATTTGCACGGCAGGGCACGTTGTATGTGACTTCGCTTTAATGAGAGCTGCTGTGCTGTAACTCGGTGAGGCCGCTTCCGGGGCGCATCAGCTCGACACATGGCGCGCCGCCTAACGTTCAGCTCGGTCAATGGGGCTGCGAAGGGAGAAGGGGCGAGGTGACAGATACGCGGAGGCGGTGAAGGGGTTAGAGAGAGGTAGGGAGAGAGAGAGAGAGGTTGGAATGAGGAGGTGAAGTCAGAGATGTGGTGAAAGGTATGGGGGCGGGGGGAGCGCTGGATAATAGGCGCCTCGTAATCCATTCTCACAGCAGTAATGCAGTCAGGTGGGCAGACAAAAGGCAAACGTCTGCAGTGTCTCTCGGCGCTGGGGAGGAGGAGGTGGCGGCTAACGAGGGCTGAGCACGGTGGCGTGCGAGCGCGCGGGCAGTAGCAGAGGCACCCCCAAAGAAAATAGCAGGAGAGGAGAGAGTTTTCAGTGACTACAATGTGGCACACAGTGTGCTGGCGGCGCAGTGTGGGAGAGGGACAGGTGAGAGAGAGAGAGCGGGGTGAGCAGCGACAGCGCGCGAGTGTGAGAATTGGAGAATGAAGCCTGCCTGCTCTCGTCGTAAACGGTTTTACGGGGCGCCGAGCTAGCCTCTCTCCCAATGAATAAGGGAAGGGGCGGCAGGCGGCGGGATCAGCAGCAGCGCCCGCGGAGTGCGCCGCTTCCGCTCGGCAGTATAGGGGGATTAAAAACAAGGAAACATACTCCGCACAACGCTCTGTAGAGCCCTCCGCGAGGGCCTGCTTTGTCCTTTTCGCGTCTCACACTGGTCTCTCTCGTAGAGCCACGGCACGTATTGCTTTTGGACGTGTGGGCGGAACAAGCGACGGGCAGGGCTTTTCCATTAAGGCTGAATGGAATGACTACCGCCGCGCCGAGGAGTCGAAACAAAACATGCGCGCGCGCGGGCGCGATGACCGCGACTGCGCACGGAATTGGTCAGGCGAGGACGAAAGGCGGGAGCAGAGGGGGTAAGGGAGCGGGGAGGTTTGTAGCGAAATGGCGTGTGAGATAATTTCTCATGAGCATGGAGCGCCATATGGGACGGACCGTAAAAGCGCGCTCACTGGCCCCTTCCCCGTTACCTCCGTCCCCCTCTCTCCCCCATCTTTCTCCGGCCCTCTCTCCTCTACGTTCTGCTCAGTATTTCGTTTCCACCTTGTCTCGTCCCTTTTCCAGCCCCAAGGTGGTTTCATTCATCCAGCTCCGCCCATTCTGCAATTATTCTGTATTCACTTGAAGCGGGCAAACACACTGGCACACACGCGCGCGCGCTGCCGCCTCTCTGTAATAGGCACCATGCCTCATTCTCTTGCGAACGAGCTTTATTTCAAGAAATTAGGACGACGGCGGCAAAAGGGGGAGGGCTGGATTAATCTCCCTTGAATTCGTGCGCCATGCATATGGAGCTGAAAATTATACGCGTTATTTCCTTCCTCTTTTCGTTTTTACAAAGAGTTTGCTTTATATTTATTTTTATTTCCCCCCTCGCATTGTATTTTTTTTTATTTCGTCGTGTGGGGCACTACTCTCTGGAACGGGGCACCCAGCGAGGGGATTTAGTTATTCGATTTCGACCGTTTTAGAGTGAAAGAGTGCGGGGCGGGGCGGGCGTCCCCTTTTAGAGAGGGGTGGAGGGTGTGGGAGGCCAGTTGGACAACCAGCATTGACTCCATAAAACCCGTGTGGGGGGGCAAGGGGGGCGGCGGAGTGCGTTTCCCCGGGATGGACGGTCGAAGGGAGAGGGGGTGGTGGTGGTGGTTGGGGAGGGTTAGGGGGCACTGCGTCAGGTGAAGCTAATGGTTCTGTACCGCCGCCATGGTGAGGCCCAATGCGGGGACCACTCGGGGAGCTGCCTTTTCCACACGCTGTTTATTTGTGCACCCGCAGCCCCCCCCCCCCCCCCCAACCCCATGGTACCTGCTTCCTGCTCTACAGCCACAGCTCTACCCTCCGCTGTCTTTGAGCTTTGCGAGAAGAAAACAGTTGTATCGCTACTGTTCTTCTCATTTCGAAGGTGCTAATTAAAGTCTGAACTCTCTTGAATTAGTGTGCGTCCACCATGAAAGAAACGCATAGGTACCGATTTTAACAGTCGTATGTGGACAACTGTAGAGTCATGCAGTTGCAAGTGAACAGGAGTTGCACTTATTTTTCGAGCGTGTTGCGGTTTTGTTTTGTCAGTGTAATCACTGAAACGGTAGAAGTGGCGCGGCAGTGTTTCCTCCCTTGCAGACGACGAGAGGCCAGGCATCATTAACGACAGATTGAAAATGTTAAATACTCCTTTGTCGTGTCTCGCGTCTCAATAATCGTGTTACCAGATTCAATTCGGTTCCACCGCACTAAGTGTATTTATTTTCCCGAGACTGCAAAAAGAAACTCGCCGTCCGTTTTGGCCCTCCGGCTTTGCATTTAATTACCTAGAAAGCAGTTTCCGCCTTCTTTCCGACCGTCTCGTCTCTGTCACTGCCACGTTGACCTCTCTCTCTCTTCCCTCTCTCTCTCTCTCTTCCCTCTCTCTCTCTCTCTCGTTCTCTCACTCTCCGTTGGCGGTGCATTCAATTTGTGAGCGCGCTGTGCCATGATGAAGCCGTCTCGAATCTCGCGGCGACAAATTAAATTTCTCGTGAAACCGGTAAGAACGTCGCGGAGACGCACGGCTGCCGGGCCGCTGCTGCAAAAGAATCTTATTAGGAACACGTCGAATCATCTCGCCAAGCAGCTGACTGAGGCTTTCATAGGATTCTTGCTTACGTATCTCGCCAAGCCGAGCAGGTGGTGGGCTATAGTGTGGAATCTGTCGAGTTTTTTATACTCCTTTCTAAGCCGTTAGACATCTCACGGCGCATATCTAGGAAGTGGTAGGGGTGGGCGTCGCTGGTGTCGCTCCACCACGTCCCTCGGCCTCGCGCGCTCCCCCGCAGAGAGAGCCACAGTGGCGACACAATATGAACTTCCTTCCGGCTTCCCCCGCTCCCTCCCCGAGGAGGACGCACCAGGTGGTGCGGCCCAGCTCCGCCCCGCCCCCGCCCCGCCGGGCCCGCACAGCCCAGCCTTTATTAATGTCAGTCCCCAAGCCAGCCTGTAGTGGGGAAGCCACTTAGGCGGCCCTTATTTCCCGTTACGCCCTTGGCAGCGCCGCCCGGCCCGCCACGCCGCGGGTACATCACTCTCCCACGGGGAAAAGGGGGGGGGGGCATTCGCAACCTCTTACTCCTCTCAGCTGATACTTTTCAGCATTGTTCACTTTTCTTCTTGTACGCGCTTTAGACACACCATAACTCGCTACTCTGGAAATCCAAGTGCACAAATGTCGCATACCTGCAGGCAGGTGTGCAACAAAATTTTCACACGACTTCAGATGAGTGACGCAATTCACACACTTGAGGTGTGTAAATAGCTACCTTTCAAATTGTATTATTTTTTTCGCTCACCTACAAGTGTGTGAATATTTTGTCGCTTACCTACAAGTGTGTAAATTTTGTCACACATATGCAGGTGTGCGACATTCCTTCACTTGGATTTCCAGTATATAAATTGACCATAACATTCAATGGGCGGGGAAAAAACTTTTTCCTATGTCGCCGTGTGTCGAAAACCAAAGCGCATGGATCTGCCCAGCTCTCGCTCTTCTAACGTGAGTGGCAGAGGCGGTGCGTGCACCACCTGCCTGATCCCTGCAGTGCACCTGCCCTCTTTCCTTTTCCGCTGCGCCGAGTGAGTCGTTGGGTTCGACGCCTTTGTCGGGGCGCCAATGACTCACTGCCGCGTCCCCCCCCCCCTCTCAACTCACCCTCGACCCCTCCTTTCCCCCGCCCCTTCGAACTAAAGCGAATGTGACAAATGACGGTGCCCGGTGTCAGCGGCGTCCATTTGGGTCCCGCCGCCCCCTTCTCCCCTCACTCTTGTTCGGCCAGCACACCATTGCCTGGTGAATACTCTGCGAATGCCATGCAACTTTCGCTTCAAAATGTGGCACATACTACACTGTCAAGAAATACACTGTGGGCTTATACAAACTAGCTGTATACTCCTAGTCCCTTACAAATAACAGTCTTCACATTATGAAGGATTGGTTTTATAAAGTACAAATGATTTGAAACCACCATATTACAAACGGATTTTCTTTGCATAACAAAGAGCACCGCTCTTTCGTTTTACAAACCCAAGCCCTTCGTAATACGAAGGATTTGTTTATACCACGATGGTGACAAATCCTTTGTACGTTGCATAGAGCAGGTCTTCGTAAGAAACTTACAGAGTTAAAAGCAAAGTTACCCTGCTTGGAACTAGAACTTCACGCCTTGTATGAATTTT